GCATGGTGGACCACACTGTCACCTGTCTTTTGTGTCCTTCAGCATGATGAACTCTGCTGTACACGTCCTGGTGCTGGATCCGCTATTACCAACAAGCTAATTGAGTTTGCTGGCCTTGAAAATGCATCCCTGTAGGTAATGTGATGATGTAATGCTGTGTTCCTGCCCTCTGGATTTCCTCCTGCCATTATGGAGGCCTTATTTATAAGAATGGAAACAAAATCAAAAACAAAAAAAACAGGATCGCCTTTTGATGTGACTTAAACAAGGCTGGAACAGAGCCTGAGGCTTAGCCTTCCACATGCCCCTGAGATGCCAGGACTCAAGTGAAGCAGGAAAATCCCAGAAAGCAGGTGGGGGTCCATGAGAGTCTGGTGGACACAGGTCTGAGAAGGACAGGAACACAGGTGCAGGGAGGATGCCTGGAAGAAGGGTGAGCAAATGGCAAATGCTGGATGCACAAGCACCACTTACGAACAGAAGGAGGATGGAGCTAGGTCAAATAATCCAGCAGACACTGAGATGAGTTTGGAGGGAAGGCAGGACCCCTCTGAAGTCTAAGGAAAAAGAGCATGACAGACTGCCCAGGGCAGGTGGTATGCCCAACACAGGACAAGCTGGAGACAGACGGGGAAGTCCATCTGGGCTGTGCAAGGGAAAGCTAGAAACTATCACAGCTGGTCATCACTGGAAATTCAGTGAGCCCCTCTGTGCCAGAGGTGGGGCTGTGGAAAGCCAGGCAAGTCACCTGCCCTCATGGAACTAACCTTCTAGTGCTGTAAATCAACCGATAGGGCGTGAAGACAGACACACAGACCAGTGGAATAGAATCAAGTCCAGAAATAAACCCTTGTATATGTAGTCAAATGACTTAGAACCAAAAGCATTCAGTGCTGAAAGGACTCTTTTTTTTTTTTTTTTTTTTTACTTTTTTGAGATGGAGTCTCACTCTGTCACCTCGGCTGAAGTGCAGCTGGCACGTTGGACTCACTGCAACCTCCGCCTCCTGAGTTCAAGTGTTTCTCCTGCCTCCACCTCCCAAGTATCTGGGGTTACAGGTGCCCACCACAATGCCCGGCTATTTTTTGTATTTTTGGTAGAGACGGGGTTTCACAATGTTGGCCGCTAGTCTTGAGCTCCTGACCTCAGGTGATCGGCCTGGCTTGGCCTCCTAAAGTACTGGGATTACATGCCTGAGCCACTGGACCAGTCCTTGAGATATACAGCTATCTGAAAGCTGCTCAATTGTAAATTTAGGTGCTCAATTTTCTAAACTTAGGTCCTTAATTAGTCTGCTTTTTTTGGTTTGTTTGTTTGTTTGTTGTTTTGAGACAGGGTTTTGCTCCTGTCACAGGCTGAAATATAATCGTGTGATCATGGCTTACCACAGTTGAAACTTCGGGGTTCAAAGGATTCTCCTGCCTTAGCCTCCTGAGTAGCTGTGGCTACAGGTGTGCACCACCACACCTGGCTTTTTTTTTTTTTTTTTTTTTTTAATCTTTTGTAGAGATGGGGTTTTGCTATGCTGCCCAGGCTGGTCTCAAACTGCTGGCCTCAAGTGATCCTCCCAACTTGGCCTCCCAAAGTGCTGGGATTACTGGTATGAGCCACTGCACCTTGCTACTAAGGCTGCTTGAGCAGAACAGAGACAATGAAATAAAGTGGTTATTACCTAGCTTAGACACAGTGCATCAAGATATTACGTATTCACTTCAGTCTCTTTTGTCAAAAAGCTTTCCTGATAAAAGTCAAAATGGTGTAGGAATTTTCATCATGAATCCTCTCCTTCTTTCTCCCGGTGCAGTGAACAGAGCCTCTAAAGTTGCCCTTGAAATTATCTCTTATCATACCATTTTGCTTTTCAACATTCCCACCTAATTAACTACTTTGTGTGCCTTTCATTTAGAGCTACGCCTAATTGCAATGACTGCCTCCTAGCAAATACATGTCCTCAGCAGCACAATGAAGTTAGAAAAAAATGCAAAAATACTTCCTGAGTGAGTAAATGACGATGTTTTTTGTAATGCAATGCACACACAGACACACACCACTTCCAATGAAGGGAATCATTAAAATATTTTTAACCCCTTTCACATCAATATTGTCCATGTTAACTGAATCACTACTTGGCAAAATGAATATATATATATATCATTAAATTGGACTGTGAGAGCTGAGCATAAACATGTTGCAGAAGAAAAGTCTGGGTTTGTGATGACAGGTGAAGGAAATAGTGCCTCCTAACGGAGAAATTTCCCAGGAAGGGAAAAAATAAAAGCAACCTGAAACAAAAGCAACATGAATCAATTTCATTCTGAAGAACACAGTGATGAAACAATGTTGCTAAATGAGACACAATTTCCGACAAAGATCTTCTCTGTTCTCCAAGAACTTTTATTGTGCTGTGCTTACCAAGAAGCATGTGTTTTCTTCCCAAAAAGAGACAATGTACTTTATTTTATGCTGGTACCTCTCTTTGTCTCTTCTCCCCCACTTGCTGCAATTTAAGCTGTCTATTGTAATTGCTCTATCTCCAGTCAGCCTAAATATCTGAAAGTCCTGAGTTTTTGCAAGAATTAAAAAAAAAAAAAAAAATAGGGCCTCAGGTTTGATAGCAATAGATCCTACTGTCCCCTCGGGATGACATTCCCGCACTATGAAGACCAGAGATCCCCCAGTAACAAACAGTAGCTCCTGTTTGCCTCATGCCTTTGTGTAGAGGTCACAATACCTGCAGAGACGGGCATTGCTGGGAGGCCTGGAAGCTACTTTTATGAAACACAACAGGGGCAGCTTCATGTTAGAGGCAACAAGTTTGGGCGAGAGGGAAGGTAGAGATACAGTCCTTGAACTCAAGGATGTCATAATGGAAGCAAAAGGTTTACGATGCAAAAATGACCCTTTACACTTAACCCCAAATTGCTCTAAGCTACTTTCTTTATTTTTGGAGACAGAGATCTCACTGTGTTGCCCAGGCTGAAGTGTGTGCAATGGCGTGATCATAGCTCACTGAAGCCTCAAACTCCTGGGCTCAAGTGATCCTCCTGCCTCAGCCTCTGAGCAGCTGGTATGCAGGCATGTGCCACCAGGCCCAGCTAATTTGTAAATATTATTTTTGTAGAGATGTTTCCCAGGCTGATCTGGAACTCCTGGCCTCAAGTGATCCTCTCTTCTCGGCCTCTTGAAGTGCTGGGATTACAGGCGTGAGCCACCGTGCCCGACTGCTATTCAGCTGCTTTCAAGCACTGTGCCACTGCCTCCTTAAACTTTGGTTTCCTGTCTCTAAAATGGGCATTAACATCAGCTACGAGGATTGCTGTAGGAGCAAAATCATATCATACACGCAAGGCTAGTACCACTGTGGTAGAGCTGGAGAAATGCCACTTCTTGTTATTATTGTTTTGTTTTTTTTTTTTTTTTTTTTTTTTTTGAGACGGAGTCTCGCTCTGTCGCCCAGGCTGGAGTGTAGTGGCGCAATCTCGGCTCACTGCAAGCTCCGCCTTCCGGGTTCACGCCATTCTCCTGCCTCAGCCTCCCGAGGAGCTGGGACTACAGGCGCCCGCCACTGCGCCCAGCTAATTTTTCTATTTTTAGTAGAGACGGGGTTTCACCTTGGTCTCGATCTCCAACCTGCTTGTGATCCACGCCGCGCCTCGGCCTCCCAAAGTGCTGGGATTACAGGCGTGAGCCACCGCGCCCGGCCGTTGTTATTATTTGTATAGTGAGCTTTTTATACCTTGGTGTAGTGGTGATTAATACGTCTTATTTTTAATGAATGAACAATTAGAACCCAATTAAGCAAAGAGAATTGCATTACTTTTCTGATTAAAAACCTGATACCCCAAAAGGATGAAATTTGAACTCTGTCGCGTGGCTTTCTCTAGCCACGCTCACCCACTGGCCTGTTCCCTGTCAGTACAAGCTCTGCAGAGCCACCTGAAATTACCTCACTGAACATTCACACCACATTTGGACTTGACTTGTGCCTGTGGGTCCAAACATAGCATGTGCTCCGTCCTTTCCTCTATGACCAACAAATGGCAGATAGGAGTGAGTGGAGGAATTCCTATGTGATCTTCAATACTTAACTTAGATGCCCCCTTTCCCTGTGAAGCCAACCCTTGGCGCCCTCCTCCCGGAGTTCACACCGTATTTGATGCGATGCTTCTCAAATTGTGGTCCCTGGACCAGAGAAGCAGCAACATCATCTGAGACACATATTAGGCGGTATCACTCTGTCAGAGGCTGGAGAAATACCACTTGTTGTTGTTGTTATTATTATAGTGAGCTTTTGTACCTTAACATGTGTTAAATGCAAATTGCTTGTCCATCTTGGACCCACTGAACCAGAAACTCTGGGCCTGGGACTCAGCAACCTGCGCTTTAAGGAGCCTTTCCCATGATTCTGATGCTGAAAATAGATTTAGAAACTTAGAAACCCCAGCTAGAAACTTAGAGACCTATAGACTTTTAAAACTTAGAAACCTTTAGACTTTTAGACTTAGAAACTTAGGAGCTTAGAAAAGCCACACCAGGTGGCTATCTAAAAGCACCCACCCAATGACCAGGTGGCCATCTAAAGCACTCGCGATGTCCGTGCTGGCTATCTAAAACACCCACCCAAATTCCTGGAATTCAAACAGAAGAACAAGTCAGGGAAATACCTTGGGTTCAAACCAGGTTCAAACCAACCAATTAGAGTAGAGACATCTCGCTCAGGCCATAACCTGCTCAATCATCTTGTAGCCTCAGCTTTTTGTATGTGAATTTTTGTAGTTTTGCCTTTATAAACTGTCTGTAACAAGCATTCGGGGTCCTGTAGCCAACTTTGGACGCATAGGACCCTATGTCATAGCAATAAATCTCTCCACTGTGACTTCCGTGTCGAGTGGTCTCTCGTGACGACCCCTGCCCAGGAAGGAATCTAAAAACTAGAGTTCCTACATTTTGGTGCATTGGCCGGGAATACGGGGGTCGCCCGGGACCCTCGACCCCTCGCGTGACGACCCCTGCCCAGGAAGGAATCTAAAAACTAGGTTCCTACATTTGGTGCGTTGGCCGGGAATGGGGGTCGCCCGAGGACCCTCGACCCCTCCGGTGGAGACACAATTGGCCCGGGCCACCGACTGCTGACGAACGGACTCTGTCAGGTACTTTCGTTTCACTCTGTGCTCTGTTTGTCTTGCCGGCTAGCTCTGAGGAGTACTCCGTCTGAATAATCAGGTGGGGAAGGGGGACAGACGTGTCCGGCACCTTCCCCCTTGCGCCCCAGGGGACGCCCTGGCGGTTGTCGGGAGGAAAGCTGACGACTCTGTTGGCCTCCTCAAATCGGTAGGCAGGTTGCCCCCTGCCGTCTGAATCTTTTGTAAACTTGTGGCGCCACTCTCGGGCCGCGAGGCTCCTCTGTGTTTGTTTGGTCACTGTGTTTATTGTTGTCATTTTGTCCTTGTGTGTGCGTGACTTTCTGGACGAAACTATAGGACAGACACTAACAACTCCTTTAGCCTTGACTTTGACCCACTTCCCTGACGTCCGGGCGCGAGCCCGCGATCTCTCCGTGGAAGTCCGTAAAGGACGATGGCAAACTTTCTGTTCGTCTGAATGGCCAACCCTCCAGGTTGGGTGGCCCCAGGACGGAACATTTGACCTCTCCATTATCTTACAGGTTAAAGCAAAAGTGATGAATCGTGGGCCGCAAGGACACCAGGACCAAGTGGCCTACATAATCACCTGGGAAGATTTGGTCCGAAACCCCCCTTCCTGGGTGAAACCCTTCTTTCATTCCCCCTCCCCGTCCCAATCTACCCTCCTTGCCGTGGAAGCCCCAAAGAATCAGACTTCGGATCCCCCTAAGCCAGTCCTCCCTGATGGAACTCAGCAAGACCTCCTCCTTTTCGATCCTCCGCCTCCTCCTCCTCCTCACAACCCCCTCCTGGGGCCTCCACCTTACGCTTCACCCTCGTCCCTTACCCTATCCCCAATCCCTCCCACTACTCCCTCAGCCCCTACTCTTTCTCCAGCCCCTTCATCGGTCCCTTCCTCGACCTCGCCTCCCTCTCCAACGCCGCCCAAATTAACCCCTAAAATGCCGCCACCGTCCCGTCCTCCCCGCTCGCTCCGTGCATCAGGGGGCCGGAAGCCCGCGCCGCGGCCAGCCCAGCCGCGCTCGCAGCCGCGTTCCCGGGGTTTGCGTGCCTCCGGCGGTAACCCGCGGGACGCCGTGGCGGCGTCCGCTGTCGCGCGGAAAGGCGAGGTCGAAAAGGTTGCGCGGGGGGTAGGGAAAAGAGGTCGCGCGCCCCTCCTCCCCGCCGCCGTTCCGCGCCGCCACCAACACCTCGTCTCCGCTTGCGGCGGACTGAAGACCCAGATGGCACTCCCACCTGGCAGTCTTCCCTTCTCCCCTTCGCATGGTCAACCGCGCAATCCAGTACTGGCCCTTTTCTGCCTCCGACCTCTACAATTGGAAAACTCACAACCCCCCCTTTACCCAAGACCCTCAGGCCTTAACCTCATTGATAGAATCCATTCTCCTCACCCACCAGCCTACCTGGGATGATTGTCAACAGCTTTTGCAGGTCCTTCTGACCACCGAAAAAAGGCAACAAGTCCTCCTGGAGGCCTGGAAAAATGTGCCGGGGCCAAGAGGCCTTCCAACCCAGCTCCCCAACGAAATAGACGAGGGATTTCCCCTCACCCGCCCGGACTAGGATTATGAGACAGCACCAGGTAGGGAGAGTCTCTAAATCTATCGCCAGGCTCTGTTGGCGGGTCTCAAGGGGGCAAGGAAACGCCCCACCAATTTGGCCAAGGTAAGGACCATAATTCAAGGAAAGGACGAAAACCCGGCAGCCTTTATGGAAAGACTTCTGGAAAGGTTCCGAATGTATACCCCATTTGATCCAGAGGCTCTAGAACATAAGGCTACCGTGGCCATGTCGTTCATAGACAAAGCAGCACCAGATATTAAAGGGAAACTCCAAAGATTAGATAGGATCCAGACCTATGGATTACAGAAATTAGTCAGAGAGGCAGAAAAAGTATATAATAAAAGAGAAACTCCCGAGGAAAAGGAAGCCAGACTAGCGAAAGAACAGGAGGAACGAGAGGATGGAAGAAATAAAAGAGAGATAAGTATTTAACAAAAATCCTGGCAGCAGTAGTAACGGAGAAAGGGCCAGGAAGAAAGGGAAAAAAAACGGAGGCGGCCTAAGGTAAAAAAGACCAGTGTGCCTACCAGGCATCTACTTCAGGAGCTGAGTGCCTTACAACTTGCTCAGCCCCTTAATTAAAAGATGCATTCTTTTGTTTACCCCTGGCCCCTTAAAGCCAGGAACTCTTTGCCTTTGAGTAGAAAGACCCTGAGAAAGGAATCTCAGGCCAATTGACCTGGACCCAACTTCCCCAAGGGTTCAAGAACTCTCCCACTCTCTTCGATGAGGCTCTCCACTAGGACCTAACCGACTTCCGGACCCAGCATCCAGAAGTGACCTTGCTCCAGTATGTAGATGACCTCCTCCTGGCGGCCCCCACAAAGGAAGCCTGCATGCAAGGTACTAGGCATCTACTCCAGGAACTGGGAGAAAAAAAATACCGGGCATCCGCCAAGAAGGCACAAATTTGTCAGACCAAGGTAACCTACCTGGGGTACATACTGAGTGAGGGAAAAAGGTGGCTCACCCCTGGGCACATAGAGACTGTGGCTCGCATTCCACTGCCCCGGAATCCCAGAGAGGTGCGTGAATTCCTGGGAACTGCTGGGTTCTGTCGCTTGTGGATACCCGGTTTCGCTGAACTGGCCGCCCCCCTTTATACCCTCACCAAGGGAAGCACCCCTTTTACCTGGCAGGAGGAACATCAATTGGCTTTTGAGACTCTAAAGAAAGCACTCCTCTCTGCCCCAGCCCTTAGGTTACCGGATACCTCAAAACCTTTCACCCTCTTCTTAGATGAGAGGCAAGGAATTGCAAAAGGAGTCTTAACCCAGAAATTAAGGCCCTGGAAGAGACCGGTAGCGTATCTGTCTAAAAAGCTAGATCCTGTAGCAGCCGGTTGGCCCCCGTGTCTCCGCATCATGGCAGCCACTGCCATGTTAGTCAAAGACACTGCTAAGTTAACCCTTAGGCAGCCATTGACTGTTATTACTCCACATGCTCTAGAGGCCATAGTGCGACAGCCCCCGGACCGGTGGATTACCAATGCACGCTTGACCCACTACCAGGCCCTCCTATTAGACACAAACCGCGTCCGGTTTGGCCCTCCGGTCACCCTGAACCCTGCAACGCTGCTGCCACCACCAGAAGACCAACTGAGCCCTCACGACTGTCGGCAGGTGTTGGCAGAAACCCACGGAACGCGGGAGGACCTCAAGGAGACAAAACTCCCAGACGCGGACCACACATGGTATACAGACGGCAGCAGCTATCTTGACTCAGGTACCCGGAGGGCGGGAGCGGCAGTGGTAGATAACCACACCACCATTTGGGCACAGTCACTGCCCCCTGGCACATCTGCACAAAAGGCTGAGCTAATAGCACTAACAAAGGCCCTAGAGCTGTCCAAGGGGAAAAAGGCTAATATTTATACAGATAGCCGATATGCTTTTGCAACGGCTCATACCCATGGAAGTATTTATAAAAAAAGAGGTCTCCTAACATCAGAGAGGAAAGAAATCAAGAACAAAGCTGAAATAATTGCCTTATTAAAAGCCCTCTTCCTCCCACGAGAAGTAGCCATAATCCACTGTCCCGGACATCAGAAAGGACAGGATCCAGTTGCAGTGGGAAACAGACAGGCAGACCACGTGGCCAAGCAGGCAGCCATGGCAAAAGTACTAACCTTAGCCTCAGAACCCAACAAAACCGACCAGGATAAACACACCTACACCCCAGAAGACCAGGAAGAGGCAAGAGCCATAGGAGCTATAGAAAACAAGGACACCAAGAACTGGGAAAAAGAAGGGAAGACAGTCCTCCCACAAAGAGAAGCCGTGGCTATGATCCAGCAGATGCACGCCTGGACACACTTAGGTAGCCGGAAGTTAAAAATGTTGATTGAAAAAAACTGACTTTCTAATTCCTAAGGCAAGTACTCTGATAGAACAGGTGACTTCTGCCTGCAAGGTCTGTCAGCAGGTGAACGCTGGGGCTACTCGAGTGCCAGCAGGAATACGAACCCGTGGCAGCCGCCCGGGGGCTTATTAGGAGGTAGACTTCACTAAAGTAAAACCTCACTATGCTGGGTATAAGTACTTACTACTGTTTGTAGATACCTTTTCAGGATGGGTAGAAGCCTACCCCACCCGGCAAGAAACAGCACACATAGTAGCCAAGAAGATTCTGGAAAAAATCTTTCCTAGATTTGGACTTCCCAAGGTAATTAAGTCAGACTACGGGCCGGCCTTCATTTCCCAGGTAAGTCAGGGGCTAGCCAGGATACTGGGGATTAATTGGAAATTGCATTGTGCTTATAGACCCCAGAGCTTAGGACAGGTAGAAAGAATGAATAGAACAATAAAAGAGACCCTTACTAAATTGACCTTAGAGACTGGCTTAAAAGATTGGAGACGCCTCCTATCTCTAGCTCTTTTAAGAGCCCGGAATACGCCTAACCGCTTTGGGCTCACTCCATATGAAATCCTCTACGGAGGACCTCCCCCTTTGTCGACCCTACTTGACTCCTTTTCTCCCTCCAACTCTAAGACTGACCTGCAGGCCCGGCTAAAAGGACTACAAGCAGTACAGGCCCAAATCTGGGCCACCTTGGCAGAACTGTACCGGCCAGGACATTCGCAGACCAGCCACCCCTTCCAGGTGGGGGACTCCGTCTACGTTAGACGACACCGTTCTCAAGGACTGGAGCCTCGGTGGAAAGGACCCTACATTGTTCTCCTGACCACACCCACAGCCATAAAGGTTGACGGAATCGCCACTTGGATCCACGCATCCCACGCCAAGGCTGCTCCAGAGACGCCCGGACCACCTGAGACATGGAGACTCCGTCGCTCCGAGGACCCCCTCAAGATAAGACTCTCTCGTACCTAACCCTTTGCTTACTACTAGCCCTCCTTCCTCGCGTCGCTGACACCAAAAACCCCCACCAACCTTTTAACCTAACCTGGAGAGTAACTAATTTTAATACCCATGAAGTCCTATATGAGACTTCACAAATTGCCCCTGTGGGAACTTGGTTTCCTGACCTTTATCTCAACCTAGATAAAGTAGCAGGGGTAAATAACATGGAAGGGGGAGTATAGAGAAAACAGGCTAGAAAGGTGTCCATAAGCCAGAACGGGTTCTATGCCTGCCCCGGATTCCGGACAGGAAAAATGAAACAAACTTGCGGGAATATAACTTCCCTGTATTGTGCTAGCTGGACTTGTGTAACTACTAATGATGGAGAATGGAAATGGGCCACAACACCATGGTACATATCCATGTCCTTTGTTAAGCCCTGCACCAGAACCCGGTATTCGGCTGGTTGTAATCTGGTCTGCATCAAATTCAAAAAAGCAGCGAAATCTGATGGCCGCTGGATGTCAGGGTTAATATGGGGCCTATATTTACACCAAAAGCCACTGTTTGGGATCCCCATCCAAATTAGACTAGCAGTTAGCCCTGCCTCAGCTCCTGTCTCAATAGGGCAAAACCCAGTTTTACCAGAAGCAAGGCCTCCTCAGCCGGAGGCCCCTCAGGGCCCCCGGCCGGAGGACCCTCAGGGCTCCCAGGCAGAGGACCCTCAGGGCCCTCGGCCGGAGGCCCCTCAGGGCCCTCAGCCAAAGGCCCCTCAAGGCACTACCCTGCCCTTGAGTTCTCCGGGCTTAGGTGACAGGCTCCTTAATCTCATAAAGGGCTCTTACTTTGCCTTGAACCAGACCAGGCCAGAATCCACCTCCTCTTGTTGGCTGTGCCTAGCGACAGCCCCCCCTTATTATGAGGGCATTGCCTCCACTAATAATTTCACCAACTCCACTAATCCTACTGGATGTGCATGGGATCAGCATAAAAAGCTGACCCTGGCTGAAGTTTCTGGGTCAGGAATCTGTATAGGAAAGGTGCCCACTAGCCATCAGCATCTCTGTGACAAGACTCTGACAGTGCCTAGCTCCAATCACTATTTGGTCCCTTCTGGGACAGACTGGTGGGCTTGCAACACTGGACTCACTCCCTGTGTATCCACAGCAGCGTTTAACCGCAGCACAGACTACTGCGTGTTAGTACAGGTTGTTCCCCGAGTATACTATCACTCTGGAGACTCCTTTGACCTCCAGTATGAACAGAAAGCTTATAGTAGACCCAAAAGGGAACCTGTCTCACTCACCCTCGCTGTAATGCTAGGAGTGGGGGTAGCAGCTGGGGTTGGGACCGGAACAGCAGCTTTAGTACGTGGTAGCTACCATCTGCAACAACTTAGGGCAGCCATAGATGAGGACCTTAGAGCCATAGAACACTCTATTTCAAAACTTGAAGAATCTCTAACCTCTCTGTCTGAAGTTGTATTGCAAAACCGACAAGGACTAAAAATTGTCTTCTTAAAGGAAGGCGGGCTCTGTGCAGCCCTCAAAGAACAATGTTGCTTTTACGCAGACCATTCAGGAGTGGTTAAAGATTCTATGACAAAACTAAGAGAAAGATTAGACAAACGAAAAAAAAAAAGAAAAAAAGTCTCAACAAAATTGGTTTAAAAGCTGGTACAGCCAGTCCCCTTAGTTCAGCACCTTAGTCTACACTATCTTAGGCCCCCTTATCCTACTCATGCTCATCCTGACTTTCGGGGCCGTGTATACTTAACCGCTTACTCGCCTTTATTAAAGATAAGTTAAACATTGTGCAGGCTATGGTCCTAACCCAACAGTACCAAGCCCTCAGGACAGAAGAGGAGGCTCAAGATTGAGCCTCTTGGTCACAAAAAGAGGAGGGAATGAAAA